TTCGGATAAACGAAGTTCTATTGTGCATCCATCCCTCAATTTACGCGGGTTATACGGAAGAAAAATGCTAAAAAAAAAGCCGATGTAAAAATTTATTTCACATATTTTCACCAAACAATCAATGAGAATAACTACTCTAGTACTTTGATAATAATGAAAGAGGAGAGAAAAAAAAATCGTGTAAACACACACAGATTATTTAAAAGAGACTCGCGTAAAAAAAAGATAAATCGAGGGTATATTTTTACAAACTACGTGTATTCTTAAACTTTCTCCTAATACAATTACCAATTTTATCAGAGTTAAAAACTAGAAGTGAAACTTTTAACGACTACATAAGGATAATGATTCTTTTCTGAATTCATTTCATATACAATAAACATCTGGATTACTTTCTAAGTCGATCACGCTAGATTCTTCCTGTTATTTCATTACGTGATCGAGGGATTGAAGCTAAAGTTAAAAGAATTCTATTATTTCGCAGAAAAAAATAAAAAAAAATAAAAAAAAATAAAGGGAGAAACAAAGAAAAATCTATAAACATTAAAGCTAAAGTTAAAAGAATTCTATTATTTCTCAGGAAAAAAAATAAAATAAAAAAAAATAAAGGGAGAAACAGAGAAAAATCTACAAACATGTTCGCGGAATATTCTGACACTTAATTACAATCCTCTATAGTATCTTCACAGACGCACAGAAAAGTGGATGATACGTATAATCCTACAAAAGCAGTCGTTTTCCAAACGTTGATTCGCTTATCAAATATAAGAAGGGAAATCGAGAAACGAGAAGCGGAGATAACGCGTTACGATCACATCGTGCAGATCCGGATTATTTCCGTCAAATTACATCTCGCATCGAACGACGAGTCAATGCACAAACTTTGACGCAATTGGGAAGGAAATCCATTGGACAAACGTAACATTCTGATGCGAATACGAACGTATATAAACGATCAATTTTATGATACTGTTGCTTTAATTCCAATTGCTGCACAGACATAAATGGACAAAAATAAAAGGGAACTTTTAATTCCGCACCGCTTCGATTTCATTTTTATTAGCTTCACGTTAATTCTTCGTTAAACTTATTTTCACATCGCGCTGCTTAATTAATTAAGTTACTTGTTCGATTAGATTAATATTACTTTTAGACAGTGTCTGCTGCCTGAAGCATAGAAATCAAAAGGAAGTGAAATTAATATACGACGTAGATCGAAATAGCAATATCTTCACTGCGAGAAGAAGCATTTATCATGTATAAATGAACCGAAAGAATGTATAAATTGATGAATATAGCGTGCAGTAATAGCTTCACGTCACTAAGTCTAAACCTAGTCGTGAAAGTAGTCGACAATCGAAGGAAAGCCAAGACGATCGAGTCGCCTGGAGGCAAGTGAGGCGTCAAAAGTCTAGAGATTAACGGAAGTTTAACGATCACTCACCTAACTTCCTGTTGCAGTAAACGATCGTTCGATTGGCCCTTAACTGCGACGTCATAAATAGAATTGTTCCTTTGGCAACTACGCCGCTTCCTAGGACTATCACAAATACTAACAGATACACGATCATCTTCGTGACTTGCACCGTCACCTCCAGGCATCTTTGATTCGCCATCGAGCCGGAATCGATCTTTGGCGGTGGATTCCGGAACACGTCCCATCCCTTCGTCTCCACGACCGTTCTTTGACTAGAGAGATCAAAAGAGACAGTTGCCCGAATGAAGTGGCTACAATCGTGCTTATTATCGAGAGAAGTAAATGCAGTCGATATGTCAATTAATCATGTTTCATTATATTACAGGAAGTCCCTCAGAATAAAAAGTTGTCACTTCAAACAACTGGATTTCGACTCGTTGAGTCGGTCAACGTTAGTTGGTGGTTTCATTTAAATCGTATTATTAAAATTACTAAGGATGCACAAGTGTTTCAGCGAGAGACAGAAATATGATTTGTATATAATAAATATAAAATATTTAACACGTTCCGTGCCAAGCCCGGAATTTTTGCCTTTTGTTGTCGTTCAGGCCATTTGATATTTTGATGACTAAAGGTTGATATATTATCACACAATCTTTCATCACATCATCAATCGA